CTCTCTCTCTCTCTCTCTCTCTCTCTCTCTCTCTCTCTCTCTCTCTCTCTCTCTCTCCCCCTCTTCCCTCCATTTTTTTTCTTTCTCTCGCTGGATCGTTTTATTTTTTTTCTCTTCTCTCTTGCTCGCCTCCCAATCCAAGCGCTTGCAAATGCTGTATCGGAAAGAGCGTATCGCGTGTCGCCGGGGAATGTAGCGGCCGCACTGACAAGAGGCACGGTTTTGCATTAATTACCATATTGCACCGCGATCGTAAGGCCGGAAATTTCTCTCCCGGATTCTCTCTTTGTTCTATCTCTTCGTGGAATTCGTTCGTTAAGAAGCGACACTTAACCATCGTACGATGAAACGCATATTCATTTGACGTCCACATCATCGCGCGGTTTCATCGCTCTCGTAATCGCAAGATATTAATCACGTGACGAAGTCAAACGACGAAGGGTAAAAGTGTCGTGAACATCCTGGAAACACACTTTTTGTCGTTTCTTTAGATACCGCGAAAACTCGATGGAAGAATCGAACATTCGTAGTTTCTCTCTTCGTAACTTTTCTCTTACAAATTTTTTGTCGAAGACCCTTCTTTTTTTCATTCTTTTCTTTTTCTACGCGAATAAAACGAAAGGATTGAATAATCCGTCTCTGTACCTCTTTCCTTTCCTACGATCTTCTTATTATGTAGCTATATATCTTGGGCATTTGTTATTGAGCCATTGCAATTCAGCAATTAATTTTATTAAGATATAAAATCATATGTAAAATCACGAATTTATCTCTCAGATATCCTTCCTCAAGTTATTAATTTAAGATTACAACTTTATAAAATATTTGTTGGAAAAGTCAATAATTTCTCTTAATAAGATCTTTGATTTTTCATAGAATAATTGTATAATATAATTGTACATGATCATTAACGATGAACCCAATACGATTTTTCTATTCTTGAAAAAAAGGTTCAGAATTGTTTCACATTGTGTACAATTTTAACATTGTAAGCAAGATATTTTTTTACGCGTTTTCCGCTACACGGAAAGAACACTTTTGCTGGCAAATCTAAAAATTTGACCAGACCTGACAGATCTGAAAATAATTTTGTTGGCCCATCAAAATTATTTTGTAGAACACTTAAATATGATGATAATACTGCAAAAATACTGTTTGATCTTCTAACAATCAATTTGAACATCGTATATAATAATTTTGAAGGCCCAACAAAATCATTTTCACATCTGTATCTAGTCAAATTTTTACATTTGCCAGCAAAGATATTCTTTCCATGTATCTACGATTATCACATGGAGAAGTGATTCCGCTTCTTAGAAACTAGCCAAACTAGATATTTCATATCCATAGCATATCATTTATTAATATTTATAGTTTCATGGGTAGATCATTTATAAGATAATTTATTTTAATATGTTTATTATTTCAATTGTATCAGAAGAAGCATCGAGGGGGAGAAGGGATGACCGAATATACGGTCGAAACGTTTGTTTCTATAATAAATACATTTATATCCTTATATTTATTAAGTTCGCGTAATACTGACATCAGTTTGGCTTATGCGTTTTTATCTTTCACCCTCAAAAAAAGTTCTCCCGTCTGACTTTCCCACGCAAAGTTCTTTCGCGAAGAAAGTATCGATGTGACTTACCTAACGTAATCGCGCTTGCAGTAAGTTTTGCCATCCCTTACAAAACAGGTGCATTTCTCGTCCAGAAACTGTTGACACTCGGCACACTTTAAACATGCCGCATGCCATTCCAGATTAGGCGCTACCCTCAAAATCCATTGATCGTGAATTCGACTACCGCAGCCAACGCAGAGCGAACTTCTGCCTTCTGAAACATAATCGATCGAGTAATTTCGAGATCGATTTGAGAAAATAAAAATCTTATTTTTGTTCAATGTATGTGTCATTAAATATAGAAGTCTAAGAGACATATTTTAGACGCGTATTTTATTATACGTAACTATTTTCAAATTTAAGGGGGTGAAACAACTTTTTGTGAAATTGGTAACATTTACGCCAATGCTTGCTCAAAAGATGCAACTGTCGGTTTCATAAATAAAGCGCTGATTTTCATAAATAAAGCGCTTATCGCTTATCGCTTATCGCATTCTCTTACGCTCTATCTCAGCAGCAGCATGTCATCTCAGATGCGAGATAGCGTTAAAATCAAATTTTCAGCTTTGACACTAGACAATCAGAGAATCAAACGTTATCTTAGACTTGAGTGACACGTCATTCCTCCTGGGTAAAACGATTTAACCGGCTGTGTTCAACAGAGAAAGCTTTGCGATTGTTGTAAGATTCTTTGATATGGTTGGTTTATACATTTAGATTTAGTAAAGAATCAAGGACAAAAATCCATCATATTAAAGAATTTTACAATTGCAAAGACGCTTTCTCTGTTGAACACAGCCACTGACTGTCCATTAATAAGTTTTTGGACTTGAAAAATGAGGGAAAACGATAGGCAGCTATTAGGAAAATTGACTGAAAGTTGTACATTTGATGAGCATTATTTAATTAATTTAAACTACTACTGATTTACGAACAAAATCAATTTAATATAAAATTTATTTCATTTTTTATGCATAAAAGTTTAAATCTTACGTTTGTATACTGATGGGAAATGGAGAAATCTTGAAAAACATCACATTTTTAGACAATCTAAATATACATAACAAAAGTGTGGAAAAATATAACGATTTTATCTAGAATGTTTTTTTTATATACTTCTTCATTTCGATTATAATTGTTTAAATAAGTGTTGAACTTTGTGCAATTGTTGAATCCCTTTAATGTCAAAATAAAGGCACCTGTAAAAAAATTTGTATCTCTAAAATTTTTATATGTAGTGTTTTTATTTGTAACAAGACTTCAAGCGGAATCAAATCGCGGTTCCAAACAATGTGATATGTTTCTTATGAATGTAATACAGTTTTCAGAAATCATTATCATTTTTACAGTACCTACATATTTTTAATTTTTAAAAATTTTTAAAAATCTCTTCGATCTCTTGATAAAAAATCGCGTTTGATCTAAATATTCGTCGGTGTGTGTTTTTTTATAAAAGGAGATTTGATATTAGATAATAATATAAAATAATAATCATGTCTCCGAGGCATGCATCTATGGTGAGAGCAGAAAGGAAAATTTGCTCTGATATTTCATGTGTTTAATAATTGAATCTGCATGCTCGATCGATCGATCTTATCGTCAATCATAATATTAACGATCACTCGTTAATATTAATCGCAAAATGAATAACATTCGTTCCGACGAAGTCTTAGAACATTCGCCGACAAATGAAAATAAAATCAATAACATCGATCTGTCCTGTCGTCACTTTCAAGACAACGCGTTATCAACGATTTTGCGGATAAAGCTTACGTAATGGAATCGTATCGGAGAAGTACCGAGAAATAAATGTATATATATGCATCCATTTCTTTCTTTCATGTGTGACAACAATTTCTTTTTCAAAGATAAATATATTTCTAATTAATTATATATATAGAACACAATTAAAAACATGGGCATGAGAAAACGAGAAAAATAAACAAAATGATAATAGAAATGAGAAACAAACGGGAATAAAAGAATATATTATGGCAAAATCGATATATATATATATATATATATGAGAAATTCGTTACGCTTTTTTTCTGTATATAAATAATCATATTCCAAAAATTCACGTCCAGTGTTCGGAAAAATCAGATTTTCTTTGTTATCCGTTTTCGTATATGTCTCTGAATCATACATAATGCCGCACCTTTTATAGAATCAGAACATGCGAGTGCGTTATCAAGGAAAGATAATCACCGACAAGTTCCGCCGAGGATTTATCGAAATTGGAAAACAGATTAGCTTCACAATTAGTATATTCGTAATATAAAACCTATTAATTCATTATATTACTATTAAATAGCTAAATTGCACTTAATCTAACTAGAGAAACAATACTTTCAGACTTTATAAAAGAAAGCGGATAATTTATACAATGTCCATTCTTTCATCTCAATAAGAAATTTTCTTCCATTTTGTTCTCTGCATGTTTTACTGCAGATGGAAATTTCACAATTTAACAGTTAATTTAGATTTTAAATTTCTCTCTTTATAACAGAAGGAAATATTAAATGTGATTTCTTAAATTTCAGGATTAAAAAGTTCTTTTTGATTTAATAAGAACAATTACCTTCATATATAAGAGTATTCTAATCGACATATGAGATAATTGTTTCATACACCAGAAATTATAGAAAATTATGGAAAATATTTATAATGTATCTCTTCGTAATGTTGCATTTTATCGAAGCATATAATTATACTTTAAAATACAATTAAAAGGCAAGATCAATTAATCACGTTTAAATAAATATCGATACAAATACATTTTACATCAATTTTCTGCACATAAATATTTAACTCGTATCTCGTAAAGAACAATTATCAATACATCATCTGTATTGCGGCATGCGTGCGAGCTACATACAAATTATCACTAGGCGAGTTAGTTCGATTAAATGAATTCACTTGACTGAAGAGTACGCGAAGAGAATTCGTAATAGCCGGCAACGAAAAGCGGATTGAAAATACAGCCGATGACGACTTGGGGAAGAAAAAGAAAAAAAAAGAAAAACAAAGGAAAAAAAAAGGAAATCAGGAAGCTCTCGATATCGTGACTCGCGGAAGAGGCGAGGAAGGCCACGGTTGAAAATTAAAATCGAGCGACGCGCACGACGAGACGCGCTTCTCTCGAGACGCGTCGTCACGCGAGCGAGAGCGTCGCGATGAAGAGTGGAGCGCGTCGCGCGCCGCCGACGAAGGCGCGTCGAGGATCGTCAGGGGCGTATACGTCTGGGCGGTGCGCGTCTACGTTTCACCGCCGAAACTCCGCCCAGAGTTTCGACGGCAAGACTTCGCAGTCGGCCGGCGGCATCCACCACATCGGATTCTGCGCCCTGACGCGACGACGCGATCTGACGCGGCGGTGTGGCGTGGCGTGGCGTGGCGTGGCGCGGCGCGGCGCGGCGCGGCGCGACGACCGGGAATACGTCGAGTGTCCGCTCGCTTGATGGACGTCCTTTTTTTTTTCTCTCGCGACGCGTTGATCCCTTGAGCGCAGGACCGCCGATATGTAGCGAGCCGCGTGAAATTTCTGCAAAATTCGAGCGGAATTACCGCGAGAATCATTACGCCATATCGAAGAGTATCTATTAAATATGATGTGCTCTTTCACGCTCGGCGTCGAAAGTGCAGTGTATGCCTTCATCTCTAAAAATAGGCGTTTCCATGCCGAACGTGTTCATATATCCATATAACATATCCGCGTTATGGTTATAGCAATGAGAATTAAGTACGTGAAATACGTGTGTAAGACGTAAAATGTGAAACGTTGACACATGTTGATAGGCAAATTATAATAAATCGCAATGAAAGCGTTCTCTCTCTGTTGATAGAGAGAAAGAGACAAAGAGCCAGTTACATGTAGTGAATATATTAACTTCTAATTCAATGTGTACATTTAAATACATGTGTACATTTAAATATTATATATTAAACATACATTTATTCGTCCTCATAAATATTTTTCTAATTTCTTTAATACTTGTAGATATCAATATTTTGTTAACTCCACAATACAAATTAAATGTATTTGAAAGAATTTTATTTATAAGAAGAAATAAGATGTCAAATATTAGCGGGAATAAAGAAATAACATTTTCATCGTTACACATTATTTTAAACGTATATTGATTTTTTGATTTTTTATGATTTATCCTTTATAATTATATTTATAATTATAAAGGATAAAATATGTTAAACCATCATTTTAACACGTTACTATATTTTTCTTACTTTTGTTGTACATAAGAAATGGAAATTATACGTGCATTGTCATTCCGTTTATCAGCTGATAAATAAAATTGTTTAGTAATTATCACTAATTGGTGAACGAAAATTATTCTCAGAGATAAAGTTACCTTCGTCATAGAAAATACGAATAAATATAAAAAATTAGTTTGTTTCAGAAAAAATATCATTGATGCTACGAAACATTGAATTATTGTTAGTTGCTGACAAAAAAAATTGTAAAATTGCAAAACTGCAAAACAATCTCTAACACAAATTATACAAATTGAAAAACAATTATGTAAATATGTAAGAGCAACTTGAAAAACTTTAAATATTGTAGAATAATGTTTATTTTTATTGAAGAATACTATTGGATCAATTTTAAAATGCATAATTAAATCCTTTTTAATGATAATCAATCATTTATAATAATTATTTTGCTAGAAAGACTTTAGTATCTGTTTAAAAATCTCTTTATTCGGCGGAATAAAAAATATTTTAAAATTAACGTATTGATTTTAAACCAATGAAAACTTTAAAAAGAAGAATTAATAATAAATGTGAAATGTGAATGTAAATAGAAAATAAGACAGAATGAAAAGTTTTTAATTTGATAAATTTTTGCCGAAGTATATATTATTTCCTAAGAGTTAATACTTTATTTTTAACAATTGTTTGAGCGGATAAAAATTACGGAAGAAGAGAGAGAGAATAAGAGTTCAAGAATAATAAAGTCTTATTTCACTTATTTTAATTACAAATATATTTTATTTATCAGATTCTAATTCGAAAAGTAATTAGTTTCATCAAGAAATTAATAATGACTAGATAGATAAAAATAGTTCGTGTAATAAATAGAGGCTTCCATAAAAAAAAAAGATTGCGGCATTAATAAAACAGAAAAACATGGATTTCAGAAGTAAGTCAAAGTTACAGAATACATTGTACCCGTGCGAAATTCAATTTTCTCGA